TTCTGCCACGATAGTCACAGTATTCCTTTCAAGATCAACAACGAACTATACGCACAGCTTCTTGATCTTGGTTTCGACGACTTTACTGCACGTCTAGCTCTTATTCGCACTGCGAACACCGGTGTTGAAGAGGTACGTTGCTATAACCTTGCCTCCCTTTTTCTAATATTCATTCCGTCTCACACATAATCGATATTCACATTATTATTATTGTCGTTATATGAGTGATAGCAGAGCACAAATTTTTTATTTCGGTAGGCCAGCCTTGAAAAATGTCTTGCTTTCGTTTTTTTTTTCGAAAAACGTCGACATCGTAGGGAACTACTCCGGAGAGATTTTTTGAAGTGAAAATTTTGTAGCTTCGCTTTGTTATTGCATGTTTCAATCAAACATAAATATGATATTTAGATTAGACTTTATTATTGAGTTGACCCATAAGTAATGGCGTTTTTTTCTGAAACGAAAGCCACCTTATAGGTGAACTTTGCCGCTAAGTTATATCTGCTTTGTAGAGAATTTCTTGCCCTTACGATAGTCCACTTGATTTTCTTGAAGTTTCTGTTTCGCTATTCGAATGCTGAAACTGGAGTGTCAGGTCGATAAAATTGAGCATTTTCGACGGCTTGCTTTTCATCTAATTAGGAAGCTAAAACCGCACAGGCCTGGATACATTTGGGCAAGAGGCTACGTCTCCTGGAAATGCTTACAACGGTTGAAGCAATCCAAAGATTTCAGCTCTTACCTCACAGACAAGCGTAGAACCAAACGCCCTATTGAGTCCAGTTGGGAGCTCACTGAATCACCTACATTCGCAGCGAGCAGGACTATAGCATGGATTCCCCCACTACTAGAAGCCCCGTCCACTTCACACTGGAACTCCGCGCATCTATGGACGGGTTCTTTAGGCCGGTCGCTCACCAATGCCACCCACCGCGATGCGCACTTTTTTGCAACCGCCTCAAGGTATCAGATTCCCATCTGCGTTGATCGTCTTAAACCACTCCAACTTTCTTAGGAAGATCTCTCTCCCCTGATTTATATTATGACCATTTCACTTTAAATTCACCCTTTTTCAAACCAAATTCTTCCCTTTTAAAGCAAATTCACGCCTTTTCAAATCATATCACCATCTTTTTTCAAATCAAATTAACCACACTTATTAGGCCGGGAAACTCATCGACCAGATCACGCATACACCACTGCGAGACCCGCCTTGACCACGCCCGCTTCTTTTTGCGGAATTTTGATATTTTTTTAAATTTTGGCATTTTACTGCCCTACTGCGAAGCCCCTCGGCCCGCCTGCCGGCAGGTCCGCCCACTCCGAATGAAGCCCGGCCTCCACTTTTTGAAGATGCTCATCGGTTGGATATGGTCTTGGCTTGCATGCTAGGGTCTTGTTCGTCACTCGGAATAAACTTTGCCTGGTTTTCTTGTTCCTTTGGAAATTGAAATTGTTCCGTTGGAAATGGAGAGAGATAGCATAGTGGCTACTAGCTAGTAGCTAGTAGTCGGTCGGGGATGGCATGGGCCTGGAGGCCTAATTGACAAGCTTCCAACGTGGTTCTTGTCATTTCCACTTTTTGAAGGTAGCACAGCCTCCAGAAGCGCCTTCTGGATCATCTGACTCCCAGAGGTTATGGCTTACTTTATCGCGGGAAGTGCCTTGATCGTTCTGTGTTGAGTCTTTCTGTGGTCTACCTTGCCTACCAGCTCTCTATTCATTCATTGAATCCTAACTTAGGGTACCTTTATTCCTCTATTTACTCTTTTCTTGACGTCAGCATCATCTACGAATTCATACTTTGACCCTAACACCCCGACTTACAATAGCGGGATGTGCATTCTAATACTAATATCCTTATCTCTACACTGCTCTCCTACTGCTACGATAATTTCAGGCTGTGAATTGGATAATTGAGCGGTCGAATCCGAGTGATTTTGAGGACAACTCATCAAGCAGCGACGGAGGCGAGGACGTAGAAATGGGAGGTCAGTCTATTATGCGAACTGTTCTATTAGGCTTATTTTAAATAAGTTCATTTCAGCAGTCAACTCTACAGGTGGGGATAATAATCAATCTTCCAGTGTTCTCAGTGCATTTCCTCAAGTGTTTTCTCTTAGTAAGTAAATACGTTTACGTTCTTATGCCGTTCGTGTTATTATCGGTCAGGGTTTCCTCGCATGGGAAGGTTTCTTTCGGTTTCTTTCCTTTCTTCCCATACAATGTGATATAAGTTCTATCATACATCCTTCTGTGCATACTTTGTCAAGCTGCACATGCACGCCTTCGTGACTTTTATGCTGGTGCCACTAGAAGGCATATCATCACCTCTGCTCTGAACGGTAAATATAGGGCCCTTAGCTCGCACTGGGAATGGTGATGAAGATAAGTCAGGCTGTAGTCACCATTGTAGGAAGAAGTTCGAACGATCACGTTTTCTTTTTACTCACTTGGGTGATATTGCATGCTACAGTATCTTCACGTGAATTAACTCTTCTCTGCGCTGGCTCTTAAAGGGTCATTTGAAGGACTCCTTGTTTAAAACTAAGTTTGCCGCAATGGAGGCGTTGATACCTTGTGAAAGTGATGAATTGACAAATGCGAATAATTAACGAATTGCTAACTTGAGAGAGTTGAACTCGAAAAGTTGCCGAATATGGTGAATTGGATCAATTTGTGTACATTCTTCGTAGCCGTACCTCCTTTTCTCCCAATTCAGCAGACCGCTGATTCATTCTACAATTCTACACTGTCGCAAGGTGTGAAGGCAGCTGTAGAGGGGAAAATAGAGGTGGTCATGTTATCCATCCACGATTCGCCTGTGGCTGCTATGAAGCTGAATCAGCATTTGGGCTAAGAGAGATTCCTGTCAAAATAGTGAGGAATGAAAAGAAAGCGAAAATAAATGCTCAATCTTCACTTCTTAA